CTGAATGGCCTCGGCCTGAAATTGCAGCCTGAGGATTTGGTAGGTATTTATAATATTTATAATATTTATAAATTTGGAGGCCCGAAATTTTTAAATATTATAAATATTATAAATATTTCTAATTTTTAAAATATTTAAAATATCTATAAATTTAATTGCCACGGGATCCCGGGAATGCCAAATATTTAAAATATTTATAATATTTATAAATTTGGAGGCCCGCTATTTTTTAAATATTACTTTTTTTTTGAAATATTTATATTATTTAAAATATTTATAATATTTATAAATTTAATTGCCACGGGATCCCGGAAATGCCAAATATTTATAGCATTTATAAATTTAATTGCCACGGGACTCCGCAAATGAAAACTATTTAAATAGTTTTTATATTTATAAATCTATTTAAATATGTTTTATATTTTTAAATTTGGAGAACCGAAATTTATAAAGAGAAGTGCAAAAACAGTCTTCGACACATAGGGCGTGTTCTTCCCTCTTACCCCCCCCCACCTTCCCTCCCTCCCTCCCTCCTCCCTCTTCGCAAGTTCGACTCCGTCCTGTCGTCGCTCTTTGGCATGCGGTTGGCGTTGCGTATCTTGCGGCCGCACTCGCTCACTCTCACTGTCTCACTGTCTCACTGTCTCTCTCTCTCTCTCATCTCTCTCATCTCTTTCTCATCTCTCTCATCTCTCTCTCCTCTCTCTCTCTCTCTCTCTCTCCTCTCTGTCTCTCGTCTTTCCGTCTCTCTTCTCTTTCTTCTCTCGCAGGAGGATCCGGGCAAAGAGCCACATATAAAGGACTCTTCACCCCTGCCTCCAAAAAGAGCGCCGTGTTTTTTCCTACCTCGCTGCCCTCCACTTTCCCATTCTGGAGCGCTAGCTTTCGCACCCCCCCTTGGCCTCAAGTCTATGTTATACACTGACCCTTTGGATGGGAGAGCTCGCCAAGAGATGTTCCTCACCAGTCTCTGCCAAGGCATGGGGTGAACATCCAGCACCATCCGGCAGCCTACCACGAATTGAGACTTGAACTGGGTGGGTTCGGCAGCCGGCGCAGCTGTCTCATGCCAAACCCGTGGGTCCTTTCAGCTGAATGAGGCTTTCAGGGTAGACATTGAACGCTTCCAGACAAACTCGAGGCTCCAAACGCTTCCGTTGACGTTCACACCAAGCCAGGGGGCAAGAACAAAAATTAACTCACCCGCCATTTTTGGCATGCCATGGATCCTTTTTTTGACCTTGATGGTTCGTACGTTTATCATACAATTCACTGACCTACGTCCATTGTCTTTGGCAACAACTTCGAATTCAGTGCTAAAGATGGCGACCACATTCTTAGTGGGAGAATGGAGGAGCAAGCGGAGAAGCCAGCGTAGAACAGATCTTATGTTGATAACTAACAGCTAAAGGTCTTAAGACACAAATTATGTTCCAAGTGGATGGTGCAAGTCTTAAAGGTCTTACACCACCTTTCGTCGCGTGTCTTGCCCAAAGCATCAGACTCAGGTCAACCGAGCGGCCAAGCGTTTTCGTCCTCGGGTCACGGAAAAGAAGGATGGTCCCTGCATTCTCCAGAGAGGGTCTGTTATTCCCACAACAACTCCTCTAGTGCAGGGTCTTTCTTCTGACCAGCTGATTTGTTCGAACGAGTTGGTCATACTCCCTATGGATCCACCAATTTGCCCTCCTTTGAGGGTGATTGGTGACACTTGTACAGTGGTTTCAGGGTAGATGGCACTGACGCCCCAAGATGTCTGCTGTGTGGGGTCCTTGTAAACCACCGAACTTGGATGAACTTGGGGTAACTTGTGCCATCGAACCTTGGAAACCACTGTACTGTATGTAGTAGCGCCATCAGTGGAGATTTGAGCTCTCCCACGCTTGTGCTGCGTGATGGTGGCATCTATTTATGATAGGACCCTGCAGGAATAGAGCATTAACCACACGGCATTCTAAACGCAAAACAGACTTGTTACTGCTGCGCTCTTGTTGAAACGGACGGTATGGTGACTCCACGTCTTCCTGTACGTCTTCCCTTCATCTCTCCCGACGTCCATCGACCGTCCCAGGATCCGCAGAGAGGCCGCGGGCCTCGGCTGCTCTGTGGCTCGGTACCGCTCGGTCACCGGTGCGAAACCGACGATCGGACGAAGCAGAGCGTACCGAGGCGACCGAAGAAGTGTTCGCTCCGAACAGAGGTGTTCATGACCCGAACTAGACTATAAGGAGGTTGAATGAGGTTGAATGTACCCCGGAGGTTGAACGACCCTATTGAATCACCGGGGGTTGAATGTACCCCAGTGGGGTCCTAGTTCAGGTCACTTAACGCTAAGCGTTCTTGGGCTGTCACTCTGTGTAGGAAGACTTTGGCACGGATCCATTGGTGTGACCACGGTCTGTCCATTTCGGTATCCTTATGTATTCCTGTGGATCCACATACCGAACCTGAGAAGGTGAGCAGGGACAGCGCCTTGAAGTAGGCGCCAGGAGGGTCCTAATACCTTCTGAGAAGATGGCAGCAGATCCATAGGGTATTCCATTCCAGTATAGGTCCATGGTATCCATGTATCTTTTCTGCCTGGTTCCGGAATTGTGGTGAATTTGAGTGACTGTCATGGGGGCTGCTGATGACATCTGATGACCAAATCCTGCACACCCGAGATATCTTGAGCTTCTGCTGTGATGGAATGAGGGATCCTGGGGCTGGTGCAGGATGGAG